GTTGGCTTTTTACCCATCCTGTCGCAAAATGTTGCAGTGTAGCTTACTGTTATTATGTTAAGACTGTTACCCATGCTATATCATGCCTCAAGACAAAATTTCATTGATTTGTCATTAGAAATAAATATTTCACAATATAATAACATTTTTGTGATGAATCACTATGCTTTAATTATGTTCAATTTGTAACAATGAAAATACTTCCTGCGTATTAGATATTTACATGACAATTCATAACAGAAGCAAAATTACAGTTATGAAGTAGCAATGAGAATAATTTTATGTCTGGGGGTCCCCACCACATAAGGCACTGTCTGAAAGGGTCACCGTGGCGTGAGGAAAGTGGAGAACCACTGGCGAAGCAGTTACGAGTTGGACTAATAACTGCAAGGCCAGCAGTTTAAAACCACCCTCCGGCTTTCCATCCCTGGAAAGAGCTAGTCTCGGAAACTCACAGGGGCAGTTCTGTCTGTCTTGTAGGGTTGCTGTGCGTTGGCAGTGACTTGATGGCAGCAATTGGTTCTTTCTTGATGGGCTGTAGTACAAATGTTTTTAATTACCCGTGGTGGGGACAGGACAGGACTGCATGTGTTTGTTTGCTTTTCTGAAAAGGGGATGAGGGCGAAATCAGTTTGGGAACCCACAATAGCTTTATCTTAAGAAAATGTAGTGGGTGAACAAAACAGAAGCCACCCTTATTTCCATTGTCCTGAGTTAATAGCTTAAAAAAAAACATAGTTAACATATCCCAGCCAGAATATTGTTTTATTATTATATATTGTATAATTATTGTTACATAATATATAATATAATAAATATATTGTGTGTTTGGATACAAACACATACGTGCAAATACATGTATATACTTCTCCCAAAAGTTTATGGAAAAATAGAATTAAAAGGTAATGGAATTTTCCTGTGAACTTTTTGAAATTCCCTTATACACTTTAAAAATAAAATTATTTTGTGCAAACTGTTCCAATTTTCTCCTCCCGTTTACTAGAATATAAGTTCCTTGAGGGCAAGGCTTTTTTTCCAAATTTTCTTCTCTTCTCCCTTGTTCTTTTTAACAGACTATCAGCCTCATGAGGGTAGGGATTTCTTTGCTTGTAGGACTGAACATAGTAGACACTTTGCAAATGCCTGCAGAATGAATAAGCAAATAGTATATTATGACTATGTTTTTGAAATGCCATCATTGCGTTGTATGTAAAGAGTTTACCATAATGCATTTGTCTAATTCCCTGTGATAGGATGTTTTAGGTGCTTGCTTTTACTTATAAATTGTGCTACAGTGGATGTATTTATAGTGAACCCTGCATATTTCTAGTTAGTAACATGGGACCTCATCTTATTAGACCTGGGTTGCCTTCCAGAACACTGTCCATTATGGGAGATTCCCAACTATTCTCCGTGCTGTTAACCTACCTCGGATCATTCAGATCTTCTCCTGAGGGACAGAAACTAGCTCATGTGACTTCTGTTTCCATTCTCCTTATACCGAATTTCTCTCTTTCCCTCGTTTAAAAATCGATTTCTTCTTTCCATCTGTCTGGAAGTTAGAGTTGTTTTTCTCCTTCATGTACCCTCCTAATGCCATGCCTTTATACTTTCTCTATGACAGTAAATTTATAAACTTCTCTGGGCATCTTTATGCTACTTTTCCCTTGGTGGATTTTCTTTTCTTTTTTATGGAAACTTCTATTGGACGTAATAGCACTTAGCATCACCGAGAGCTTAGCATGTGCAGGTCTCACTGTAAGCACTATCTCCCTGCTGGTTTTCACGATCCTCTCCTTTCACTTTCGTTCCTTTTCCAGCTGACTTCTTCAAACCATAGCCATTCCTCATTGCCTGCTGGTTCTGGTCTCCTGGGCCACTGAAATCAGTGTTCCCCCAAGCATCTGTGGTTTCCTCACATCACATTCTCTCCTGGTCTTTAATCTTTAGTGCTCGACAGTACTGGCGCTGGCTCCACTGCCTCCCCCCTCACCTCCACAATCTGAGTCTCTGCCGGTTCTTCAGTGGCGGTTCTATTGCAATTATTTTTCTTGACCATTTTCTTTCTTGTACACGAGTTGCAGAGTTTTTTATTAGTGTACTCTCATCTGTTTTCATGTATCTCCCATGATTTTTATCCCACCTCCAAGTGTCTTTTGAGATTGATGTCTGATACTCCATTCCTTGCCTCCTGTTCCTGAAAGCTCCGCTGTACTGGGTAGTACATGTGGCTCATGCACTTGGCTGCTAGCCGAAAGTTTGGAGCTTCACCCAGAGGCACCTCAGGAAAAAAGCCTGGTCATCTACTTCCTAAAAATAAATAAAACTTATGAAGCACAGTGCTACTCTGACAGTCATGGGGTCACCGCGATTTGTCACTTCGATGGCGACTGCTTACTGGTATTGTCTCAAATGGAGGCAGGTGTAGTGTCTGCCCTACACGTTTTACTACTAACTTCAGAGGGGGTTTCCCCCCCATAATTTTACCTATGTGTCCTTCCATACTTAACTTAGATTACTCTCTTGTCGCAGTCATCTGTCTGTAGGTCCAATCCTAATATCAGAAACAAAGATAGTAAATGTAATCATGTAACTATATAAACTCTACACATGGAAGCATGGAGGAAAAAAGGGCTGAAAAATGACCACTTCTCAACAGTGACCGTTTGGACACTATCAGTCTTACATATGTGTAATTGGGAGTCCAGAAGGAGAAATGGAGCAGAAAAAAAAAATACTTGAAGAAACAATGGCCGAAAACATTTTAGATCTGAAACTCAGTGATCCTCAAAGAGGATACGCACAAAGGAAAGCGCTCCAAGGGTCCGCATTGAGGTCTTCTCCTGGAAGCAGACCGGGAGACAAATGATTCACTACAGCCACGGGACAAAGATGAGAGTGACTGCTGACTTCTCCTCAGAAACCATGGAAGGCAGGAGACAAAGGAGTGACTTCCTTTCAGTGCAGAAAGATAAAACCCGTTGATGTGTTAGTTAACAACAGGAGAGAGAAAATGTTTTTATAGAACTGAAAGTGGGATAAAACTTTTTTTAACTAAAGCACAGAGGATTTGTTGAGAAGCAGCCCTGCACTATAGGAACTGTTTGTGGAAGTTTGTTATGCTGAAGGACAATGACACTCGATGGAAACTGGCTTCCAGGAAGGAGGGAAGGGTGCCATGCTCATGGAAGTGGGCGTCATGAGATCCAAACAGCACATTGCATTGGGTCAATCTGCTGCATAAGACCTCTCCAGAGTATTGAAAAGCAAAGTGTTACTTTGAGGATTAAGGTGCACCTGACCCAAGCCATGGTATGGCATTCAGCCACCTCCGATGCATGTGAACGTCCAACGTTGAATGGAGGACTGGAGAAGAATCAGTGTATTGGAATTGTGGTGCTTGTGGAGGATATTGAAAAAGTACTCTGGGAGGCCAACAGGACAAGCAACTCTGTATTGGGAGAACAGCCAGGGTGCTCCTGAGAGGCACCCAAGGATGGCGAGACGTCATACATACTGTGGACATGTTTTCAGGAGAGAACAATCCCTGGAGAAGGACGTCAGGCTGGGTCAGGTAGAGGGGCAGTGAGAAAGGAGACCCTGGACAAGAGGGATCGAGACAGTGGCTGCAGCAGTGGGTTCTTACAAAGTGTAAAATCGCTCAAAGACCTCGAAGAGCCTACTCACCCAGATAGACCAGCTGAACAGGAGCCTAATCGGTTGTTGCGTTTTTCCGGTGTTTCAGAATCGCTCCATTTTTCCTGACTCAGTTTTGTTTGATTTCCCTGAGTCTTTACCCCCCTCTGCTGCCTCCTGTAATAACCAGAGTTATGCATAGTCCTTACACCACCACTCGTCATTGTACTGCGGTGGCTTGTGTGTTGCTTGAAGCTGTATTTCAGATTCCAGCAGTCACCCAAGGTGAAGAGGTTTCGGCAGAACTTCCATTCTAAGAACAGACTAGCAAGAAAGGGTGGCTGTCCACTTTTGAGGGATTAGCCACTGATGACTTTATAAATAACCGTGGAGTACTGTCTTGATATAAAGAGGTTGGAAGGGGTGCAAAATACTTCCTCGGTGTAGAATCGACTTTAATGACCTGGGTGGATTAAAGCCTCGGGGACCTTCATTGCTGATGGGACACGACTCAGCCATCCATCACTAATTGGAACATGGAATGTACTAAGTATGAATCTAGGAAAATTAGAAGTCATCGAAAATGAAATAGGACCCATAAAGACCAATCTGTAGCATAGGCATTAGTGAGCAGAAATGGACTGTTGGACATTGCCATTTTGCATCGGGATATCACGGTTCCCTTCCATTTTCATTGCTTAATCATGGGTGTAAAACTGTGATGAATTTTCAGTACATTGCAGTTATTGCCATCTTTGGTGTGGGGCGGCTCTTCAGGAAGCTTCAGATTCTGCAGATTGCTCCTACTGGACTTTGCGAGCTTCCTGCTTGTTGGGGTGACAAGGTAGCCAGGATCATCTGTCCACGTGCTTCTGGAGCCAGAGACGGTGTTTAGAGGGGGTGGTCACTGCTGCTGGCCTACCTCCTGTGGAACGGGCTGCTGAAGCTCTGGGAAGTTCACTGTTATCCAGGAGGACTTCTTTGTCGTTTCCATACCATGTTGCTGACGTCTACATATCAAAAAGCTTGCCATGTTCGCTCTTTGAAGAACATACTTCAGTGATGTTGATTGCACTCACCGTGCCATGGAGGCACGTGACCACCCGTTTCGTAATGTCTGCCACCCTAGACAGAAGAAACTCAGCGTCTCTTCAGCAATAACGCCCCTCCCACCGGCTCCTGGTGATCACGGATGAACTTTGGTTTCTGCATTTGATTTGTCTTTTCTCGATAGTTTCTAGTTGTACGTGGGACCACACAATATCGGTTCCTCTGTGTCTGACTGACTTCATCATTTGGTGTCCAGCACAGTATTTTCAAGGTGTCTCCGAGCTTCATTTCTCTTTATGGCTTAAAAATAGTTCATTTTATGTATAAAGAGGCTTTTTAACCTTTTAACTAATTTAAGACTGTTAGTCCTGAATTTTTCTAACTTTTTAATTAGCCAGTGGAAGTTATTAAAATGTGTGGAACAGGGATTAAAATGTGTGCTGTCTCTTGCTATTTGTGCTGAGGTTTAACAATGTTATGTTCGATTATCACTGTTAAATCTCATAGGGAACCATAAATGCTTGTTCAGAACTAGCTAGAGAGAATAATTTATTTGAAACTCTTAATTAGAGACCAATAAAAGCTTATTTAAAATTAATAAAAGAAAATATATGTATATTTTGGGGGGGGGGCAGGTGATATTAGAATCCCTTTTATGACTTAAAAGTATTTATGGTCTCTTATTACATTTTGCCCAATATGGAGGACTTAGAAGTGGGACGCAGAGTCTATAAAATATCACATTTAAAAATTACATATAAGCTACTAATAGAAGAGCCCCGATGGCACTGTTGGATATACACTGGACTGCTGACCTCAGAGAGTCAGTGGTTCAAATCCACTAGCCGCTCTGTGGGAGGAAATTGACACTATCTATTCCTGTCAATATTCAGCCTCCTAAACCCTCTACAGGGAGGTAGCTCTGAGTCAGAGTCTACTCAGTAGCAGTGTGCCTAAAAAACATGCTGTTGGCAGGTTTGGTCACATTATCTGACTCTAATTTATCAGATAGCCTTTTGAATTAACATTTGCTAGTAAGAATATCCTTTCTAACCCACTGGAATGTTGTATATATTTACCCAGAACTAATGAACAACTCCTGAAGCCCTAGTAGCATGGGGGTTATGCGTTGGGCATAACCCCAAAGTCAGCAGTTCAAAACCACCATCTGCTCGGAGGCTTTCTTTGCCTGTAAAGAGTTACAGTCTCTGAAACTCACAGGGGCAGTTCTACCCTGTCTTCTAGGGTCTCTTTGAGTCGGCAGCAACTCGGTGGCAGTGAGTTTTAGAGAATGAACGCACATTCTGCAGCCAGAGCTCCTTCAGGGCCGGCATTTTACAGGATTCCTGTGGAGAAGAAATTAATGTACTTCATGGGCTATTTGCATCTTTAAAGTGGAACTTACATGCTGGCAAGGCTTTAAAGAAAATATTTGCATAAATATTATGTATGTAGCTAGTAATTTTGAACATTCATTTCACTGTTGGAAGATGTTTTTGCTTGAATCAGAGCTTTTCTTGACTCTTCGTTCCAAGACAACACATAATGATACACGGTCTTGCATTCTTGTTAGCAGATGTCTGTGAGCAGGGAGAGCGATTACTCTCGTGTACACATTTAATATTTCTGGTTTGTTTTTCACAGTTTTGTTTCTCTTTTAAGATTTGGCTCAAGTACTGGCTCTTTCATATTTTCGTATTTCATTCTGTTGTAGTTATTTTTACCAATTCAATCATTTAACTTCAAATATGCTTAAAAGTTATGCCCCCCCCCCCCTTTTTTTAGGAGGTTCTGGCAGTGATCCGACTTCTTGATGTCCTTTGTGAAATGACTGCTAATAATGACCTGCTCGTCTACCTGCAGGGTTATCCTGGCTTGCTGGAAAGAGTAATCGGTGAGTGAAATACCACACTTACTATTACTTTGAAGCAAGGAACCATTATGTTGTACAGCCATATCAATCTAAAGCACAAACCTCCAGTTTTCAGTTCATACAACTCTTATCATAATCCATACATACATCAATTGTGTAAAGCACATTTGTACATTCTTTGCCCTCATCATTCTCAAAACATTTGCTCTCCACCTAAGCCCCTGGCATCAGTTCCTCATTCCACCCCCCCACCCCCATTTTTGAGATTTTTCAATACTTTTTCACCACTTCCCTCTCAGTTTGTTATACTGAGGTAGCTTGCGCGTCGCTTTGATGATGAAAGCTCTGTCACTGGTATTTCACCCACCAACAGGGTCACTCACAGTGAATACCATATGTCTCAGCAGAGTTTCCCTACCAAGAAAAGACTGTCCGCCTCTGAGGATTAACCACTGGAAAACCTTTTGACTAGCAGTGAAACCGTGTCAGATAACGGAAACCCTGATGCATCGCCACAGAACATTTTCAGAGAGAGTAGCAGAAGTCCCTCAGTCTGACTGCAGGAGAGCTGCCCTTTCAAAGCGGAGTCGACCATCGTGACTTGATAGAAACAAGCCTGCAGGACCTTCATTTGCTGATGGGGCAGGGGTCAAAAGGAAACAAAACAGCCGAAAATGTTAACAGTGGAGACTTGGAATGTGCATTGTATGAATCTAAGAAAACTTTAAGTCATCAGAATGAAATAAATTGCATAAAGATCGGTATCCTAGGCATGACTGAGTTGAATTGGGCTGATATTGGCCATTTTGAATCAGACAGTCATATAGTTTACTTGGGATGACATATTTAAGAGGAATGGTGTTTCTTTGTCAAAGAGGACATTCCAAGATCTATCTTGAAGTATAACGCTGTCTGTAATTTGATAGTATCTTCATACAAGGAAACCCAGTCAGTGCAACTGTTATTCTGATTTGTGCACCCACCACTAAAGCTGGTAGTGAAGAATTTTACCAATATATTTGGTCTGAAATTGATCAAACATGCAATCAAGATGCACTGAAGTTGGAAAAAAAAAAGAAGAAGGAACAGTAGTTGGAAAATATGGACTTGGTGGTAGAAATGAAGTGAGCTCACATAACAGGATTTTGCAAGACCAGCGACGACTTTGCAGATACCATTTACAAAAAAAATACATTGCAACTATACACATGGACCTCACCAGATAGGAAATATACAAGAATCAGGTGATCACATCTGTTGGGAAGAGACACAAGGCCAGGAGGCTGAGTGTGGATCAGACCATCAATGGCTTATGTGTACGTTCAGGTTGAAGAAAGGCTGAAGAAAATGAAAACAAGTCCACAAGAGCCAAGTTAGACCTTGAGTATATCCCACTTGAATTTCTTTCAACATTTCCAGAACAGATTGACACAATGAACATTATTCACAGATGACTGTGAATTCACAGATGAGCTGTTGGGAGGACAGCAAGACCACCATTCATGAAGAAACCTCAGAGCATTCCAGAGACAGGAAAGAAGGAACAGATCACAGTGTTTGCCAGAACAGACTCTGCAATTTGCTCTTAGTCATAGAGCAGCTGAGGCAAAGGGAAAACATGATGAAGTCAAAGAGCTAACACAATTTCAAAAGGCAGCTCAAGAAGACAAAGTGTGATAATGAAATGCGCGTAGATATGAGTTAGAAAACAAAAAAGAAAGGACATAGCAAATATCAAGATGAAAAAACTGAAGAAAAAGTCAAGCCTTGAATTGCAATATTAGAAGAATTTATGGGCAGCATGATGTAGGAAACATCAAGAGAAGATAGAATACACAGAGTCACTGTCTCACAAAGAACTAGTTCACCTTCAGCTAGTTCAAGAAATAACACATGAAAAAGAACCAATGGTTCCCGAAGGGAGAAATCCCGGGTGCATGGTTTTGGCATTATCCAAAAACAAGGCTCCTGGCATGGAAATGTGTCAACAAGCGGATGCAGCACTGGATGCGCTCACTCCCTGCTCTATGCCAGGAGAGTTGGGAGGGCTGGTCAACTGACTTAGATCCAAGAAAGGCGACCCAATAGCGTGTACAAATTACAGAACAGTATTATTGATGTCATATTAAGTCACATTTTGCTGAATATGGTTGCAACAGTACATAGATAGGAAGCTGCCAAAGGTCCAGGCCAGATTTGAAGAGGACGTGGAACAAGGAATATCATTGCTGATGTCAGATGCACGTTGACTGAATGCAGAGAATCCCAGAAAGATGTGTTCTTGGGTTTATTGACTATGACAAGTCACTCGACTTTGTGTGTCTTAACAGACTATGGCTCACTTTGAGATGGATGGAAGTCCCAGAACAGTAACTACATTGTGCTTAGGAGGAACCTGTACATGGATCAAGGGACAGTTGTTTGACCAGAACAGGGAATAATAATATGTGGTTTAAAATCAGAAAAGAAAGATTTGTGTCATACCATACTTATTCAGTCTATATGCTGAGCAGATAATCAGAGAAACTAGACTGTATGAAGAACTCAACATCAGAATTGGAAAAAGGCTTATTAACAACCTTCGCTAAGCAGATGACAAATTTGTTTGCTAAAAGTGAGCAGGACTTGAAACACTCGCTGACGGAGAATTCCAGCCTTCAGTGTGGATCACAACTTACTGTAAAGGAAAGGAAAATCCCAGTGACTGGACCAATGGGTACCACCATGATAAAAGACTGGAATTAGTGATTTCATCTTGCTTGGATTCACAAGCAGTGCTCATGGAAACCGCAGTCAAGAGATTAAAGGATGTATTGCAGGATGTAAATCAGCACAAGGCCTCTTTCAGGTGTTGAAAAGCAAGATTTTACTCTGAGGACTGAGGTGAGCCTGACCCAAGCCATGCTGTTTTTAGATGCATTTGAATTATGGTGCTGGCAAAGGTCTTATTGGAAGCAACCACAGAGGACCTCGGTGTCTGTTTTGCTGGAAGTATAGCAAGAATGTTTCTTCCAAACAAGGATGGCGAGACTTCATCTCATGTCCTTTGGTCATGTTGTCAGCAGAGACACGTCCCTGGACCGGGACTTCATGCTTGGTGAAGTGCGGGGCAGCGGAAAAGCGGAAGGGCCTCCCCAGGATGAATTGACACAGCGCCGGCCGCAGTAGCAGTAGCAGTAGGCTCAAACGTGACGGCAGTGGTGCGGCTGGCGCAGAACTCGCGGCATCTCGTTCTAGTGCACGTAGTGTCACTGAGTCGGAACTGGCACGGTGGCACCTAACAACAGCATCCCTGCAGTGGAATCCTGGCGTTGTGGTAAGAGCTTGGGCTTTACAGCCGAGAAAACTCGAGTTCAGGTCTTCGTTCTGCCCACTCACCCGCTGGTTAATCCTGATGCTTCCTCAGGAAGGTGAGGATCATTAACCTGCTGTGTAGGGTGCGCATGTAATCCTGCTGGCTGTGGAGGTAGTGGTGACGATGCTAACCTCCAACAGACCACGGGCTTCCGGAAGAATGAACAAATCATTCATGAAGACGTGCAGTCAGAATGCTCCTTAGAAACAAAGACAGCAAGATTTAATCTGAAGTATTTTGGACACGTGATCAGTAGGGATCAGTCCCTGGAGAAGCACATCGTGCTTGATTTAAAGTCAAGGGTCAGCAAAAAAGAGCAAGGCCTCCTGCCACACGGACTGCCGACACAATGCCTCCAAGGCTGGCATCACCCATAAGACCAATCTTGAGGATGGCCCTGGACCAAACGGTGGCCTGTTCTGCTGTGCTTGGCGGTGCTATGGATCTGGACGAATCTGATGGCACCTCGCAGCAACAGAGTTTTCCAAAATTTGTCTGTAAATTGTTCCTAGTTAGATTGTTAGATCATATTGCATAGTACCTGATGCATAGTAATAATGTATTAAATTCTGCTTATGAAATATTTGTAACAGGAAGCTATTGTTGGAAATAATATGTCTGCTAAAAGTCTGTTCACACAATAATTGAAGTAGAGTCTTCCCTCTGTGGTTAGCCATTTATTTGGTGTTCATTGTTCCTCCCCCCTCCCCCCTTTAAAAAAGATGTATACTTATTCTGGTGACTCACACACTAGGAAAGACATCCATTTAACATTGAAACACATTTGAAAATCTTAAAGTGACAATGGCCATTTGCCACACTCCTTTTCTAAGTTTTAATATACATTTTTAACTTTTTCCTTTCGCTAGTGAAGGAAGCAAAGATGTTGATTATTTATTTTGAAAATCCCACTCGGCTCCGGGGCCCGTGAGACAGCATGCTCTTTTCAGTGGAACCCCAGCAGCCCCATCTCCCACTCCTGATCTCCGCTCCCTGTATTTCCACGAGCTGTGGCCTCACAGAACTTTATATCTAGGTTAATAGGTGCATTAGCACTGCGCTATTGGTGAAGATATTTAGAACCATATATACTTTTTAAAATTTAGAATGATTCCTTGTAGGGAAATTTAAAGCACCATAAACTTGGGAAATGAAATATAACGATGAGAACATCACTTTTGAACCAGGAGAAAATTGGGTTGCCATTTCAGCTCTACTACATTTCTAACTTCTTTTTTTTTTTTTTTTTAACATTTTATTAGGGGCTCATACAACTGTTATCCCAATCCATATACACATCAATTGTGTAAAGCGCATTTGTACATCGTTTCTCAAAACATTTTCTCTCGATTTAAACCCCCGACATTAGGTCCTCATTTTTCCTACATTTCTAACTTCTTTGAGACCAATTGATTCTTCTAAAGTGAGGTCAATGATATTTGCCTGTCATCAGTTTTTTCAGGGGTTTAAGAGAGAGGGTGAAACATTTGAATATAACGCATGAATTCCAGTTGGCCATTGGTTTCTGACTTATAGGTCAGGAAGCTGGGCATCATATTTAGATTGTGCTGAACTGTAATCATAGATGAGTTCCTTCGTAGAGATGTTGGAATAGCTAACTTTTCATTGTAGAGAAGTATTACCTCCATGTTTAGTGCAACCATTAAGATCATCTCTCAAAAAATAGGATACCGCCACTACTCACTTACCAACATGGTTTAGTTCCAAAGACCAGGTCAGTAGGCAAAAATGGGCATGTGTGAAAATGGAGATTAACTACATCAGATCACAAAATGGAGGATGGCTACATCATCACATAACTGCCAAGCCACTGAGAAGTAGGGCCTGCTCAGATTGACACACGAGCTTGGCCTATCACAGTCGGTGCTGTTTTCATCTGGAAACTCAGCATTCGTTACTGCCAGGTGTGTGTCATTAATGTGAATAAATGGCTGGATAGTAGGTATTTTGTAAATGTGAATGGATAGCCACATAATTGATAAGGTGCAGAAAAGGTATAGTAAACAATTTAAACAGAAACAGAAGGTCTGTATAATAACCGGCAGTCCCCTAACTCTGAGTTTTGTTCTTCAGTCCATCCGTCAGTTGAATCTATATGCCAGTCAAGACAGTGTGGTACAGTTTGTACCTAACAATAGATAGTGTACTTTTTTTTGCATTAAAAGCATTAAAGAAATACTTCCAGATATACTAGGACATACTTAAAATAATAATACAGTCATAATTACAGTGTTTTGATGCATGTTGTGAAATAGCATCTGTGTTATTATGAACTATTGTCTATACTTGGAATTTTCAGTATCATAGGGTAGCTTTCTAATTACAGGTTGTACACAGGTCAAATATTTGTAACTGATTGTAATCTCTTAATGGGAGTAAGGAGGCTTTCGACTACCATCAAGAGGGACAGTCTCAGAAACCACAGGGCAGTTCTACCCTGTCCTACAGGGCCGCTGTGAGTCAGCATCGACTTGATGGCAGTGAGTCTGGTTGTCTTCTTTTTAAAAAAATCATTTTATTTGGGGGCTCGTACACCTCTTATCACAATCCATCCATACATCCATTGTGTCGAGCACATTGGTACATCTGTTGCCCTCATCCTTCTGGTCTCCTTTTTTCTCTTTTTGTTTTTGTAATCAGCTAAAGTTTTCTTTTCTTAATTAAAAAAATTTTTTTTTCAGCTAAAGTTTTCAGTACTATATTTTAATTCATTAGAAAAGATTTGCTTATGGGGAAAAAGTACAGAATGTAGTTATTTTTCTTTAGAAAAATGTGTTTCTTCTTTTCGTTGTAGATCTTTTACGACTGGTTCACGTAGCTGGGAACGACACTACAAGCCCCTTTGCTGCTGCCGGCTGTATCAAAGCCGAGTGTGACGTCTCCAGTGTGGCCGATGGGTTTAAGTCTCATCTCCTCCGTTTGATTGGGAATCTGTGCTACAAGAACAAAGAGAACCAAGATAAGGTGGGATGACTCTGTAGTCTGTGGGCAGAAACGGCTTCACTGAGAATTTTGGGTACACTCGCTTTTGGAGGGGTGAAAGTTGGAGCTGCTTAGAAAGTAGCTTGCTAATTGTTCATGTACACAGTTTATTTCCAGTCCCTGGCAGGAGGAGGTGGCACGTGGCCCAGAGCCAGACAGTGTGTCTGTCCCTTTGGTGTCTGAGTGCTTCGCAGGCAGTGCTTGCCGTTTCCAGGCAGTTGGGGAGTGAGCTGCCTAATCTCCCCTTGGAAAATTACTGGACTCGTTTTTTTGCAAGTGCAAGTTGATAATGAAACCCTTTACCTTTTCAATGACTTAATGACCACGTCTGTCTTTCTGGAGGAGCACAAAAGCGAGGTGTTTTTTGTGGGGGTTGAACTGCTCTTTTGTTGCTGGCTTGGATTGGCCACTTAGAGGGACAAAATGTAGGCACCCTTAAAAGGCTTATGAAATCACTCAGTGGAGTCAGGCTCAGGTTGCATCCCTGAGTAAATATGGAGTGTGCCCAAGTGCCGCTGTGCGGAGGTGACCGGGGCTCGAGCGCAGGAAGCCCACGGTGTGTGCCTTCACGTGCACAGGTGCTAATGGCCCTGCAGCTCTCTGAGCAAACACTCCAGAGGCTCTGAAGGGGCTCATTCTTGGAGCCGGAGGATATCTCTGTTTCTTCCCGTTTCTCACCTAGGTTAACAAAAGGCCTGAACTTGAAAGCATTACTTCTTTTTTATTTATTTAATTTTTTGTTTGTCCAAAGAATTTTAAGATGGCATCAAATTCTCTTTCTGGACGTGCTGGAAGCTTCTCTGTTCGTGTGGTTGGATTCTCAGCCCAGGGGGTCCTTAGCAGTGCTCTAGTGACTTTGATTCTGCTTATTGAGGTCGTGGAAGATAATTTAGGTAGCATGCCTTCATCATTGGCCCACTTAAATTTTTGTTACTTTCTAGGTAGGCTGGCCCGCTTGTAGGCAGAGTTAGTGCTGACTAGGGGTGGGCAAGGAGGGGCAATTCTTATCATCTAGCTGCATTCAGACTGGAGAATCAAAAGGAGGCTGACAGTTTGTCTGGGATCTCCCATGTGTCAGCGTCGCACTTACTGTATTGCATGTGTTTCCAAACTTCATCTCTGTGTCAGTTTTGCAGTGCAGGTTCTTTTAGCTACATTGCAGAGAGAAGTCCCGCGGGATTGGGTGGAAGTCCCGAGCAAAATTTGGGTCTGCTGACTGTGCACACTCTTGAGAGGTGAGATCTCCCCTGCCCCAAGTGCCGCTCATTTGTGAGGGTTTTCGAGGTTTGGAGGAACAGCAAAATGGGTTTTTGAAAGACTGTAGACTGATCATACGCATCCGGGTCACCTGGGCTGGCCGGGCCCTGCAGGCCTCCCGAAGGTTCAGGTCAGCACTCTGGTGGCCCTCTCGGCTCATGACACACCTTCCTGGCCTAGTGGGACCTTGTATGAGTACTGCAGGTCAATATCACCTGTGACACTCCTTCCAGGAGCACTTAGGGAATGTCCTGGAATCGAAAGCCACACAGCTGTTCATGGTGGACACTTCCTTATGGTCTCTGCACAGGTCTTGACCCCGCCGAGGTTTGCTCAGAAACTTTTAAAGCCCATCTGGGTCTCCGGGGGGTGTGTGTGGCTTTTATATCTTGGCAGCTGGCCGATGGCCATGGTGGCAGTGCACTTGTCCACCTCTCTCCGTGTTCCAGAGCTTCCTCGCCGGCAGGAGATCTTTGGAACGCGGTGCAGAGGCCTCGTTGCGTTCTAATCCAAGAAGCTGAGACTCGAAGAGACTGAGTGGGTTTCCATTCAGCTGTCCTTTATCGTGTGAGCACTGCTCCGGGTCTGAGGAAGGCAGTGACTTCCATGGGAGGGAGAGAGAGAGAGCCCAAGCAGAGCCGCCCCAGAGAGTTGGGATGTGGAGGCTGATCTCCCCAAGGGGCAGGTGGCAAGAGCCAGACATCCAGGATCAGGCTAGGAAAGAATACGACGAGCTTCCTTTGCTTTTGCATCTGGGCAGTGTGTACCAGTGCCTTACACTGGGCATCTGCTCAGAACTCTTGTCTTGCCTGGTCTTTCCATCAGAGCGTCCTAGCTGTGCAATGGTGACGCACTGGCCTGCTAACTGCAAGGTCATCCGTTTGAAACCACTAGCCACTCTGTGGTCGAAAGATGGGGCTTCCATAAAGAGTGACATGCGCGGGGGCAGTTCTGCCTTGTCCTATGGTGTTGCTGTGACTCAGCATTGAACGACGGCAGTGAGTTTGGTTTTGGTTTAATCCTGGCAGATAGCAGACTCGGGAGGGAACCCCTCTCCCCGGTGGAATTGTACAAGAGTCACTGGACTGGCCTTTCCCAAATTGGGCAGGGAGGATCTGAGCTGCTTACTGACTTCTAATCTTACCTTGTTTTGTGCTCCGCTGATATAACCTTTCCCTTTGCGTCTCTGGTTCCATTTACCCTGAATCCTCGGTGGCCTTGAAATGGAGATGCTGGCCTGGCCTGTATTGTACGATGCTCTAGGGTGTTTGCTGCTGCTGCTGCTTTGTGAGGAATGTGCGCTATACTTCTTGACTTCCCCATTCTTCCCTTTTACGCTATTGTCAGAAACTCTTTAAATGAATGCTGGACTAGGGAAAGAAAATCACACTTGCTTTTTTTTTTTATCCCATAAAGCAAAGCACTTTTTAACAAAATGGGCTCTCAGGGCTTGTCCTGGGGGAGGTGGCCCTCCTGTACACAGTGCCCCCGCTGAATCCACTCAGCCAGAGACTCTGTGACTTGCAGTTCGGTTTCTCCCCCTCTGAGAGAGAGAGAGAGAGACAGTGTCTGGCTCTCACATGGCTGCCCACGTGTGTTCAGCCACACACGTGTCACGCTTTCATGGTGGGCATGACTTCCTTTTGAGAGAAGCCCTCGCTTCCTGGAGAGGTTCAGCGCGTAGAGGCAGGAGGTGGGAACGTCTGTTGTGAAGGTCTGTCGATTGTGGGCATCGCTCTCGAGTCCTTAGGAAAAGCTCGGTGTGGTCAGGCTTCTCTGTAAAGTTGTTTTGTTCATTGATTGTTTCCACCTCCTCCGTTGCCCCTGACACCTAGTAGTCACTCGGTGAATATTTCTTCAATGAAACTTGAGTTTGGTAGTATTTCTTTGAAAACTTTTAAAAGAAGCTCTGGTGGCACTGTCAGGTTAGCGTCAGACTGCTAGCTGCAAGATCAGCTGTTCAAGTCCACTAGTGGCTGCTCCTTGGGGAAACGATGGGGCTGTCTGTGCCGGGGAAGAGTCTTCAAGCAAGGATTAGAGAGCCGGGAAGATCGCCTGCAGAAGTGTGGAGACGGAGAGACTGAGAGGTGGAGGAGTCGTGAGAAGCAATAGCTCCCCATGTGGGTATTTTTGCTTCATAAAGCCGGGTGTGGTTTTGTAGCCTTATTTTAGACTTGGCATGGTCTGTTTGGTGCCCCGTGGGGGAAGAGCCCATGAAAGAGAGGGAGTTTGGGATATACCTGGGGATCCAGACAGGGCTTCCAAGTTAGATCAACACAGGATTGCCTCATCGTTTTACCACCTCTTACCTGGCGCTGGGAGATCCAACAGGAGGATGTACCTCAAGCGTCCAATGATTGCCCGATCCCTCTTCCCAACCTCCCACGCCACCCCCACCGTTCTCGGGAAAGGAGCAGATCTAGTCATGCCTCCATCTTCCTGTGATAAATCTGTAGGCAGTGTCTTGCAGGTCTCTGCTAAGTAACGCAGGTCTTCATATTCTGGACGGTTGGCCTGGGAGGACACAGAGTGAGTGCAAAGAGCAGAGAACCTGTTTGAAGAACTGGGATCTCTTGGGGGTCAATGTGACCCCATAGGGTCCCCATTGTCGTCAGCTAGTGAAGGGCTGGAGTGTGGGTTCTGTCTGTGTGGATACCCAGCTCCCTTCTGAGGACACGTCCAAGATCTTATAAATGACGGGGCTAGGGCTGCCTCTTCCTGTCAGAAACAAGTTGCACAGAATCTCAGCGTATTGATATGAAGATTGAACGTATAGGCAAGCTCTGGCTTGCTTAGAATTCCACACCTTTGTAATGTAATCCCAGTTCAAGAAATATGTCAAAATTCATAAATCAAGCTGTCACCATTAGTTTCCTGAACTTACAGTTCCTGTTACAGTAAATGAAATTAAAATTCCTATCTAGAGGACACATAGCATGGTTTAGTTTGTTGCTGTTGTAAATTTTTTTTTTTTTACGACATAGCAGATAGCCTGCTGTTTTATTCCAAAGTCCCCCTTTCTGTGTCTTGTTACAGATTATTCTGTCTATACTTTTGCAGAAAAGGCACACAGTCATTTGAAAGGAAGACTTAAGAGTAATGACAGGAAATCAGTGCCGAGGTTTTCGGGGTCACTGTGGGTCCAGGCCCTGGGGGCCCTTCCCCGGTCGTGCCTTGCCGCTTTTACTCACTCATAAGCTCTGGGAGAGCAGAGGGCAGCTTCTCTGTCTCCGACCCAGCAGCACCCAGCCCCTCATTGGTCGAAGTGAGGATTGTGGGTGATTCTCCTGGAGTGCCCGAGGGACCAGTGTGTACCAGAGCTGAGTTGCTTGCTTGGAGGAGGGCTGGCTAAGCCCACCTGCATCCACGTGTCCCTGAGAGAGCCCTGAGACTTCCTCTGGGAGTATTTGGACACATCGGTGGGCATACTAGTGGGAGTA